CCTGCCTCCACCTCCCAAGTAGCTGAGACCACAGGCGCCCGCCACAATGCCTGGCTATTTTTTGGTTGCAGCTGTCATTGTTGTTTGGAGGGCCTGGGCTGGATTCGAACCCACCACCTTAAGTGTATGTGGCTGGCGCTTTAGCCACTTGAGCCGCAGGCACGGAGTCAAGTGTAACATAGAATATATTCTGAAACAAATGCAGTCTCTTAGAAATTATTAAATTTCATTCATGCTATAGATAGTTGTAGAAAACAAGATGGGGAAAATGTCCTTGAAAAAAATCCTAACAGGATGCTGTTTTTCGAATATAGAAAAGGAGGCTGAGGGGCACTTTACCATTCTTTAGGGACATTCTTATATACAAATTCATCGACATAAAGTCAACAAAGATTTATAGGACACCTAACTATGGGCTAGCAACTACTGCACAGCACTGGGGACACACACATGAATAAGACCAAAGTCCTTGTTCCTCAAAGAGTTCATAGTTTACTGCCAGCAACAAACTAGTTTTTTCCTATATCCACTGAAGGCAAAGACATACGACTCTTTTCAGTCCAAGGTAATACCACATATACTATATACTTAAAGTGTATGTGGGGTTACAGGTATTCTAATCCATACACATACATACAAACACACACACACACCCAAAATCTGATGCTTATGAATACCTTGAAAGCTAGGTAAATTTACGTTCTCTAGAATACAACTTTTTAAATGACAAAAACCTGAGTCAGGGAGGATAAACAGTAGTCTTTTCACTAGTACAAAGCAGAACAGCACTGTCTTAAAAGATGTGGTCCTTTCTATTCTTGACACTCCATGCTTTAGGACACTGATAGCCACTTTTGTGTGGTTTTTCCACCCAAGTATTATTACATTACTCTCACTAGAAGGCATAACAATGTGAGTATCTATCTACCTTACTAAGATTAATCTGGAGGAAAAAAATGGTTAACTAAGGCACTGATGATTTGGAGACAACTTAAATTCTTTTTCTTTTTCTTTCTTTTATTTAGATAGAGTCTCACTCTGTCACCCTCAGTAAATGTGGGCATCACAGCTCACAGTAACCTCAGAATCTCGGGCTCCAGTGATTCCCTTGCCTCAGCCTCCCGAGTACGTGGAACTACAAGTGCCCACCACAATACCCAGCTGTTTTTAGAGACGGGGTCTCATTCTTGCTCAGGCTGGTCTCAAACCTGTGAGCTGTGGCAATGCACCCTGTGCCAAATCATTCATATTATATATACCACCCATGTCATCTAAACTTAGGATAAACTACACACAGGTTGAGCATCCCTAACCTGAAAATCCAAAACTTTCTGAGCACCAACATGACCCCACAAGTGGATAATGCCACAGCTGACTTCATGTGACAGGTAGAAGCTAAAACTTTATTTGTCATATAAAATTATTAAAATATTATATAAAATTACCTTCAAACTACCTATTTAAGGGGTATATAAAACATAAATGAAGTTCATGTTTGGAGCTGGGTCCCATCCCTGAGATACCTCATTATATATATGCAAATATTCTCAATTCTGAAAAAATATGAAATCTAAACTACTACTGGCCCCAAGAATTTTAGATAACTTGTACATGTATATACAGAAATAAGTAAAATTCACATTAATCTGAACTGTTGAACAGAACTCCCTTACAACATTCAGGTCCTCTGTGAAGCCAGAAACAGTATGATTGGTATTGGTGTGGCTTTCCTGTACACAAAGCATATAAATGAAAAAAAAATGCACATTAATTTGCTCTTGTGTTTTAAGTTCTATTAACTTTGTATCTAAGTGTAGAAACTATACACGTGGCTCGGCGCCTGTGGCTCAAGCGGCTAAGGCGCCAGCCACATACACCTAAGGTAGCGGGTTCAAATCCAGCCTGGACCCGCCAAACAACAATAACGGCTGCAACCAAAAGATAGCCGGGCGTAGTGATGGGCGCCTGTGGTCCCAGCTACTTGGGAGGCTGAGGCAGGAGACTCGCTTGAGCCTAGGAGTTGGAGGTTGCTGTAGGCAGTGAAGCCATGGCACTCTACCCAGGGGGATAGCTTGAGGCTCTGTCTCAAAAAAAAAAAAAAAAAAAGAAAGAAAGAAACTATACATGTGTATCATAAGCTAAATCTCAAATAGCCAATCAATGGGAAAACGGCTTTCCCTTAGCCATGAGACAAACTGGATCATTCTCCATAAGATGCAATGGAGAGGCTCAGCACCTGTAGCTCAGCAGCTAGGGTGCCAGCCACATACACCAGAGGTGGCAGGTTCGAAACCAGCCCAGGCCTGCCAAATAATAACTACAAGCCCCTCCCCTGCCAAAAAAAAAAAGCCGGTCATTGTGGCAGCAGGCACCTGTACTACCAGCTACTTGTGAGGCTGAGGCAAGAGAATCTTTTTTTTTTTTTTTTTGAGACAAAGCCTCAAGCTGTCGCCCTGGGTAGAGTGCCGTGGCATCACAGCTCACAGCAACCTCCAACTCCTGGACTTAAGCAATTCCCCTGCCTCTACCTCCCAAGTAGCTGTGGACTACTGGCCACAAGGCCCGGCTATTTTTTATTGCAGCCGTCATTGTTGTTTGGCGGGCCCAGGCTGGATTCAAAGCCACCAGCTCAGGTGTATGTGGCTGGTGCCTTAGCTGCTTGAGCCACAGGCAATGAGCCAAGAGAATCTCTTAAGCCACAGCTCTCTATGGAGGGCAACATAGTGAGACTCTGTCTTTAAAAAAAAAAAAAAGCAAGGGAGGTTTACATTGTTACTCTACCAGAGAAGATAATAAAAAGGATCAGTTTCCAAGATATAGTATGGCTACTTCTAAACAGTCCGTCACCAGTCTTGGTAACTAATAGTCCAATCCTGACCTGGGTTCTCTTAGCTTATAAAAGGAGCTTAGAGCTTCCCACTTACCCAAGGACAGGCCAAATCAAAGCATCTGGTTCATATCAGAGAAGAGGTACTTCTCTGACATGTAGGATTTCAGAGCTCTGATGAGGCCTTATTTTCTGGATATCAGGACTTTGAGGTATGAAAAAGTCACAGAACTTAGATATGATTCTCTCTTATCTTTCTCTTCCACTTGGCTGGAGGAATAAGAGCCAGGCCACTTCACAATCTTGTTTTATTTATTTATTTATCTATTTATTTTTAGAGACAGAGTCTCACTTTGTCACTCTGGGTAGAGTGCTGTAGCATCACAGCTCACAGCAACCTCCAGCTCTTGGGCTTAGGTGATTCTTTTTTTTTTTTTTTTGACACAGCGCCTCAAGCTGTCCCCCAGGGTAGAGTGCCGTGGCATCACAGCTCACAGCAACCTCCAACTCCTAGGCTCAAGCAATTCTCCTGCCTCTGCCTCCCAAGTAGCTGGGACTACAGGAGCCCGCCACAATGCCTGGCTGTTTTCGGTTGCATCTATCATTGTCATTTGGTGGGCTCAGGCTGGATTCAAACCCAGCAGCTCAGGTGTATATGGCTGGCGCCAAGCCTAGGTGATTCTCTTGCCTCAAGCCTCCCAAGTAGCTGGAACTACAGGCGCCTACCACAATACCCGGCTATTTTTTTGTTGCAGTTTGGCTGGGCCGGGTTTGAACCTACCACCCTTGGTATATAGGGCTGGTGCTCTACTCACTGAGCCACAGGCACCGCCCCACAATCCTGTTTTAAAAATCAGCGACTTGCTTATGGTAATGAAGCTCTTTTTAGCTCTGGTATGTATAACATATGTCAGACCTTTTACTGTTCTGGGAATTGAGGAACGGAGGAGCTGTGAATGAAAGTGAAAAAGCCTGATGACAGCTTTGAACTGAAGCTATGTAAGGCTGTCTAGCTTAGGTTTTACATATGGTCCAGGAAGCCAGCCTTTTTATTACTCAGGGGGAGGATACTGTTATAAATGCTAAGTATTTTCTTTTTTTTTTTTTTGAGACAGAGCCTCAAGCTATCCCCCTGGGTAGAGTGCTGTGGCATCACAGCTCACAGCAACCTCCAACGCCTGGGCTCAAGTGAGTCTCCTGCCTTAGCCTCCCGAGTAGCTGGGACCACAGGCACCCACCACAATGCCTGGCTACTTTTTGGTTGCAGCCGTTGCAGCCGTTATTGTTGTTTGGGGGGGTCCAGGCTGGATTCAAACCTGCCACCTTAGGTGTATGTGGCTGGCACCTTAGCTACTTGAGCCATAGGAGCTAAGCCCTAAGTATTTTCTAAGATCATTCTTTTTTTTTTTTTAGAGACAGAGTCTTACATTATCGCCCTCAGTAGAGTGCCATGGTGTCACAGCTCACGGCAACCTCCAACTCCTGGGCTTAGGTGATTCTCTTGCCTCAGCCTCCCGAGTAGCTGGGACTACAGGTGCCTGCCACAACACCCAGCTATTTTTTGTTGTTGCAGTTCAGCTGGGTTCAGGTTTGAACCCACCACCCTCAGTATATGGGGCCGGCGCCCTAATCACTGAGCCACAGGCGCCACCTTAAGATCATTCTTTAAGAATGAACACAATTTTGCCTCAAAATGAACATGCCTATGAAAAATTATACCATTAAAACTCAAAATAAACAGTATAAATGTTTATTAATGTAGGCATACCAATACAATTTCTGTTATTATTTCAATAGCTTCAACCATTTAATTAGTTTCCACTGTGATTTACCATTATTCTAATAGAAACAGACTACTGGCTAGCAAAATAAACAACTTGCAAATATCCCCCCCATTAGGACTTTTTATGTCATCTTTAATACTGCCATACTTTAAATTTATTCTTGATAATAACTTACCTTTTATAAGTAAATTGATTTATATTAACTTTGGTCAACCTCCTTTCACAAGAGATGATATTTCTTGTAAGTTTAGTCACTTTTAGAACTTAACATTCCAAATCCTTAGGCTCATTTAGGAAAATTTACCTAAAATTCTTCACCTTGTTTAGTGAGCCTATCTTCTTCTGTGTTTTGCTTTTCCTTTGGCATATATTATCTTCCCATTTACAAAGTTAAAGTTAAGTCTGTCATGAAATAAATACACTGGAAGGTATCCAAAAAACCCAAGTTAAGTAACAATATATGATAAACAGAGAAAAGCATTTCTTTCTACAAAAGCTGATTATTTATGTATATTAAACAAAATGATTCAAGTGGCCTATTTTTAAAATGTTTTCAAAAAAAAGTAGAAAATGTAGTTTTCAATCCTGTTTTTTGTACTCACTCTTTAAGGCTATCAGAACGCCTCCTGTTTCTGCCCCATGAAGAACTCCTACTTCGAGTTCTTCTTTGGCTGGGGCTTCTTGATCTCCTATGATCACTTGGAGAACAAGGATGACGTTCTTTTGATTTCATTTGGCCTGGTGCTAGAATATAAAGAACAAGACTTACTAACATAATTCAGTACCTGAAAACTGCAGTAACAGCCACTCAACTAGTATCATCTTCAGAAGAATTTTATATAAAAAACCCATCATTGCTGAAACTCATTCTGCTGAATAAACAGGAGCTAGTGTTTAGTCGCACTTACTTTTGCGATCACCTTGTGCAAACTGTATTTCAATCTGACGGCCACACACCCACTTTCTATTGAGGTTATAAAGAGCATCTTCAGCATCTCGAACATCTTCAAATATGACTAGCTGTTAAGGACACTTTTAACATCAGATATCAAGTAAAAATATTTCAGAAGTGTTATTTACATGTGAAATGAAATTAATAGAAAAAAGTTCAAGTTATTAAGCTTACAGCTCCAATATAAATAATCAGAAAAAAAGTTTACTTTTTATTGAAAACAAATGTCCCATTATGATGTAGAAAAGTGAGTCTGAAAATAAAAAGAATATTCCTGATAGTCCTGATAGTGGTTAAGAAACAAAATAAAACAAAAAGAACTGAAACGTGTAACTGTACCTTTACAATGTACGTAATATAACATAGCTAGGCAATGTGCAAGTATAATTGGAAACATGTTATGGGGAGGAAGCCCCAAATTGGCCAGTATTATAAGGTAAACTGCTTAGACTCACTCCCTTCTTTCAGATAAAGGATCCATCAGATTTTTCACCGAGTATCAGCATGCAGGAGCTTTTATTCTGAAATTAAAATGACTTTTTCATTAAAAAGCTTTTTAATTATGACATTTAGGAGAAATTACTTACAATAAATAAAACTGCACATATATAAGAGAGTTAAAACAAAAATTGATTTTGTCCTTTAAAAATGATATCAGGCAGTGCCCATGGCTCAGTGAGTAGGGCACCTGCCCCATATAGGGAGGGTGGTGGGTTCAACCTGGGCCCCGCCAAACTGCAACAAAAAAAATAGCCAGGTGTCGTGGTAGGCGCCTGTGGTCCCAGCTACTTGGGAAGCTGAGGCAAGAGAATCACCTAAGCCCAAGAGCTGGAGGTAGCTGTGAGCTGTGATGCTATAGCACTCTACTGAGGGCGACAAAGACTCTGTCTCAAAAATAAATAAATAAATAAAATAAAAACAATATCTACTGGGGCGGCGTCTGTGGCTCAGGGAGAAGGGCTCTGGCCCCATATACCAAGGGTAGCGGGTTCAAACCCAGCCCTGGCCAAACTGCAGTAAAAAAATAGCTGAGCATTGTGGCAAGTGCCTGTAGTCCCAGCTACTGTGGAAGCTAAGACAAGAGAATTGCCTAAGCCCAAGAGCTAGAGGTTGTTGTGACCTGTGATGCCACAGCACTCTTCCATGGGCGACAAAGTGAAAAAAAGTAAAAAAAAAAAAGTCTTTGAACCTACCACTTTAAACATTCCTTTACTTCCCCCACCACACACACACTTGGGATATAAGTATAAAAGGAACATAAAGGCAATCTGTAAACATCTGGAATTACATATATTGGTTTGTAATATCCTACTAAACTTTCTTATCTATATAAATTATATGATATCAAACCTAACTGTAATGGAAACTGGCTATATATATGAAAAGAATTAAACAGCTATTATTTTAGGTTGTTCACTGGTTTAATTTTTTAAAAAATAGCAAACAGAAAAAGCTCAAGAAATGCAATACAAAATGAGACTTAGGCAATTACCTCAATGTCACTTGATCTTGAACCTTGACCTTTACTCTTTAAGGCTTGCAAGATGGACTTTATAAGAGATGAAGAACCAACAAAATCAGACTTGGCTTTGACTCTGGAGCTCTGAGTAAATGTAGGAAAGCTGAGTCTCAGCCTGGTGTTGGCTTTGTCTTTTGCTTGGTAAAGACTTCCCCTCGTCCAGGTCTTTAACTCTGTGTCCACCCTCCCTCTTTACTCCTTGGTGCTTGAACTTTAGGTGCCTTTTGTCTCGGTTTATGCTTGGATCCTAGCTAACAAGTTGGTTCAAACTGGGGGGCGCTTGCCAGCTACAGTGGACTGCTTTAGATTTTCTGAGATAAAAAAATAAACACATGTAATTAGGCAATTTTAAACTCATAACATGCTCATGAATACATATATGTATCAGCACACGTATGCAATATACTCATGAACACAGTAAATAAAGGATATTGAACATAAGCAAATCCTCGTGGGCGGCGAGTGTAGAAGTCAAGTGGAATGTAAACATCTACTATAGGGCCATATCGACCAAACTCACGGCGCAAGTCCTCAGGCCTGAAGTGTTTTAGAAATAAGGCAAAGAAAGATGAATAGCTAGATTAAAATATTTTGCCTACAGAAATCTAGTTGAAACCTTCAAAACAAAGAACATCATCTAGACCAGAATTATCTAAAATTATTTCTTGTAGAAGTCACCCAAAGTTTTCAAAGGAAAGGAATGGAAAAAATTGAGAGGAAAAGAACAGATTTGCAAGTCTCTTTCTTAGACATTCTAATTCAGGAAAGTCTGGATTAGGGACTGAGTTTTGCAAATACTCCAAGAAGTTGTTATGCAAAATCAATTTCCAGAATAGCAAATCAACCTCTGAAAGTTATTACCATTACAAGACTTTTTGTTGTTGTTGAGACAGTCTCATTTTGTCACCCTCAGGAGAGTGCTGTGGCATCGTAGCTCACAGCAACCTCAAACTCATGAGCTCAAGTAATCCTCTTGCCTCAGCCTCTCGAGCAGCTGGGACCACACAGTGGTTCTCAACCTTCCTAACACCGCGACCCTTTAATATAGTTCCTCATTTTGTGGTGACGCCCTCCAACCATAAAATTATTTCTGTTGCTACTTCATGTGTGCAAAACTATGTTTTTCAAAAATATGTGTTTTCCGATGGTCTTAGGCAACCCCTATGAAAGGGTCGTTCAACCCCCAAAGGGGTTGTGGCTCACGGGTTGAAAACCCCAGGACTATAGGCTCCTGCCATAACACCCAGCTATATTTTTTAGAGACGAGGGCTTGCTCTGGCTCAGGCTGGTCTCAAACTCAGGCAATCCACCTGCCTCAGTCCCCCAAAGTGCTAGGATTACCGGTGTGAGCCACTGCTCCTGGCCCACCATTACAAGACTTTACAAACCGTTTCACTAAGAACACATTCATTGGGTGGGGGCCATAGCTCAGGGGGTAGAGTGCCCGCCACCTACACAGAGGCTGGTAGGTTTGAAAATAGCTTGAGCCAGCTGAAACAACAATGACAAGTGCAACAGAAACAATAACAAAAATAGCTGGGCGTTGTAGGGGCGCCTATAGTCTCAGCTACTTGGGAGGCTGAGGCAAGAAAAATCACTTAAGCCCAAGAGTTTGAGGTTACTGCACTCTACTGAAGGTCGTCAGAGCACTCAGTACTGAGGGTGACAGTGAGACTGTCTCAAAAAAAGAAAAAAGAACCTCTACTCTAGAGGTCACAGCACTGTCTTTTTTGAGACAGTCAGACTGTCTCAAACTGTCGCCCTGGGTGGAGTGCTGTGACATCACAGCTCACAGCAACTACAAACTCTTAAGCTTAAATGATTCTCTTTCCTCAGCCTCCCAAGTAGCTGGGACTATAGGCACCTGCCACAACACCTGGCTATTTTTTTTTTTTTTTTTTTTTGGTTGTAGCTGTCATTGTGTTTGGCAGGCCTGGGCTGGACGAACCTGCCAGCTCTGGTGTATGTGGTTGCACCTTAGCTGCCTGAGCTACAGGCACTGAGCCATCATTACGATTTTTATGTTTACTTTAATCTTGTTTTCAGATAGCAAGAATCAGATTCTGAAGAAGTCCTAAAATTATTTCTCAGGCTTTAAAGAAAAAAAACAGATGTTTTCTCATTAAACATAAAGCAATATAACTAACTGTATTCTCAAATTTGACAATTATTTGAGCCTGCTATGTGCCTTCTACTGTGATAGGTTCAGCAGAGGAAATGCAGAGCATGTTTGCTGTTACAGAGCTATAATTTAAATGCAAAGACAAAATATTTAGCAGTAAAACAGTTACACTGCATTTCTGTATTATTATATATTGCTTAGTTTTGTTTTCAGACAAAGTCTTACTCTGTCGCCCTGAGTAGAGTGCCACAGTTCACAGCAACCTCAAACACTTGGGCTCAAATGATCCTCTTGCCTCAGCCTCCCAAGTAACTGGGACTACAGGCACCAGCCAGGATGCCTGGCTAGTTTTTCTATTTTTGGTAGAGACAGGATCTCACTCTTGCTCAGGCTGCTCTCAACTCCTGAGCTCAAGCAATACACCTTCCTCAGCCTCTCAGAGCTAGGATTACAGACATGAGCCACCGTGTCCAGTTTATATATTGTTATATATTAGCCACTGTTCATCTTAAGACCACTTAATTCTTTTTTTTTTTTTTGCATTTTTTGGATGGGGCTGGGCTTGAACCCATCACCTCTGGCATATGGGGCCAGCGCCCTATTCCTCTGAGCCACAGGCGCTGCCCACTTAATTCTTAGATAACCACTCTATGGTTATTTATAGATGAGGACACAGATTAATCTTTCTAAGGTCACTAAGCCAGCAAGTGACAGAGCTAGAACCAAACTTCCACAGTCTGACACTAGTCTATATTCCTAACCACCGAACCATATTGCCTCTGGGAGGTTCCTTAGGCATTCGGCATCAATCTGTGAGCATAAAACGTGTCTCACAAAGAACAGAAACACAGCACTTCAAAACATTGTAAGAGAAGACTCAAAGATGACTGCAAAACTTCTTGGACAAATGGAAGAAGTGTCGGGGACAAAAATTAGAAAGTTGGAAAAGAAAGCTAGAATGGGGAATGAGAAGAAGCAAAATACGCAACTTTCAGGTTTAGAATCTGCAGTGATAGTGCAATAAGAGTTCTATAAGCAACTGAAATTTGTGATTACACAAATGATACTAATTTTATTTTTTCTCAAGACTAGAAGTCAGTGATTACAGCTAGAGATGGAACTTAGGAATTATGTAGATTTAACTAACATTGACTAAACACCCATTGTAAGCCAGGCACAGTCAATATTATGATATACTTTATATCATTTAATATTCATTATAACATGTTTGGTTTGCCTTTTGTTTTTTTTGAGACAGAGTCTCACTGTCACCCTCAGCAGAGTGCTGTGGCATCACAGCTCAAAGCAACCTCAAACTCTTGGGCTTACGTGATTCTCTTGCCTCAGCCTCCCAAGCAGCTGGGACTACAGTTGCCGCCACAATGCCCAGCTTTTGTTGTTGTTATTGTTGTAGTTGTCATTGTTGTTTGGCAGGCCTTGGCTGATCCCAGTGTATGTGACAGGCACCCTAGCCGCTGAGCTACAGGTGCTGAGCCATGTTTGCCTCTCTTGATAGAGTCTTAAGTTTTAGAGGACAAAGACAATGTCTTTTCTTTTGCTTTTTCATTCAGTGAGTGCTGAGCACCTACTTTGTGCCAGGCCCTAGAGATATGGTGGAGAACAAGAAAAACACAATTCCTACTCCCACAGAACACAGACTATGCAGTAAAGATTCTCAACCATTCTTAAATATTGGAATCATCTATGAATGAGATGGTATAGAAACAGACACCCCAGCCTAATCTATTTAGCATTTCCCAGAGTAAATCTCAGTTAGGTTTAATTTATGTTTTAAGGGTTTCACAGGTAATTCTGGAACTAAAGCAAGTGTTTTCATCAGCAGCTCTCTGTACCTTGTACCTGCTGGGCACACAGTAAGCACTTAGTATACATTTGCCTGTCAGTGAATAAACAGCACAACCACAGTTACCATTTAAGAGTTAAGGAGATTGAGGGTAGAGAAGTACCTTGCCCAGATGTTGTACACAGTCAGTAGCAAAGCTAGAATTCAAATGAAGGTATTCTGAGCCAACCAACCCCATCAATCAAATGATGGTACCTCAGAGGAAAGGGATCCTAGGTAATATAAAGGAGGGGACCAGAGTGATGTGTGTCTCTGAGGATTGGTGTCCTGGAAGCCAAGGGGGATAAGAGCCTGAAGGAACAGATCTTCTCAAAAGAACTGGTTCCCATTCATTATCTCCAATCTTAGTGGTTGTTTTGTTTTCATTTATTTTTGCATTTTTGGTGTCATCTACTTTTACATTCAGAAAAGTACAGGGAATAAACACACACCCATGCATCCATCAGCAAGATTTATTTTATCGGCTCGGCGCCTATAGCTCAACCGGC